GTTCTCCTGTTGAAAGGTCTGGGTTGTTACCAGTTTGGGGCATTCCAAACAAAGTGACTATGACGATTTGTATATGGGTTTTGTGTGAAAATAGCGTCTCGGTTCTCTGGAGTAAATGCCCAGAGTGCAATTGCTGGGTTGCATGGTAGCCACGTGCTTGGTCTTTACAGAAACTGCCAAACTGTTTTCTTTAATGACTGTACCATTTTGCATATTCGCCCGCGGTGTATGAGTGATCCAACTTCTTCATATCCTAGTCATCATCTGATGTTGCCACTATTTTTTATTTTAGTCATTCTGATAGGTGTGTAGTGATATCTCCTTGTGGTTTTAATTCGCATTTCCCTAATGACTGATGGTGTTGAACAAGTTGTCATGTGCTTATTTGTCATCTGTATAGCCTCTTCAGTGAAAGGTCTGTTCATTCATGTCTTTCGCGCATTTTTCTAATTGGATTGTTGTTGTTTTTTAAGGTTCTGTTTTCAGAGATTTTAAAAATATATTCTAGATACTAGTCTTTTGTTAGATTATATGTGCTTAGCAAATGTTTCCTTTCAGCCTTTGGCTTGTCTTTTTATTCTCATAACGAGGTGTTTTACTGAGCCAACATTTAAATTTTTATTAAATCCATGTCATCATTTTTTTTCTTTTATGGATCGTGCTTTTGGTGTCAAGTCTAAGAACTTGGCCTTGCCCGGATCCCAAAGATTTTTCTTTTTTTTTCCTAAATTTTTCATAGTTTAACATGTTACATTTAAGCTCATGATCTATTCTGAGTTTATTTTTGTAGAAGGTATGAGAGTTAGATCAAGGTTCATTATTTTGCCCTTTGATGAGCAATTGTTCCAACATTGTTTGTTTAAAGGCTATTTTCCCTTTATTGGATTGCTTTTAAACATTGTCAAAATCAGATCGGAATATTTGTTTGAGTCTATTTCTGGGTTCTTGATGCTTTTCTCTTGACCTACCTCTCCACAAGCATCACATAGCCTTGCTTACCCTCCTTCTATAACAAGTCATAAAATGGGAAGATGGATCCTCACGTTTGACTCTTCTTTCTAAAAATTGTTTTGGCTATCCCAGCTCCTTGGCATCTCCATATGACTTTTAGAATAACCTTGTATAGGTCTACAAAAGGTCTTGCAGGGAACTGAATATGAATTGTATTAAACTTGTGTATCGGTATGGGGAGAATGGGCCTCTTTACTAAGTTGGCTCTTCCAATTTATGAATATGCTATGTCTCTCCATTTGTTTTTATTTTCTTTGATCAATATTTTGTAGTTTTCAGTATACAAGTCCTATACATGTTTTTTATATTTACACCTATTTCGGTTTGTTTTTTTTTTGAATGGTTGTAAATGGTGTGGTGTTTTTAATTCCAGTATCAATGTGTTCATTGTTAGTGTGCAGAAATACAGTTAATTTTGTATGTTTATCTTGTAGCCTGTGACTTTGTGAAGCACACGTATTGGTTCTCTAGGGGACTTCTTTTGTTGATTCCTTAAGATTTTCTTCATAGACAATTGTGTAATCTGCAAAGAGGAACAATACGTTTTCCTCCCTTCCTTCAATCTTTCCTTCCTTCCTTTCTTTGATCTGTATGCCATTTACTTCCCTTCTTGCCTATTGCGCTAGCTAAAACTTCCAGAAATATATTGTATAAAAGTGATGACAGAAGATAACCTTGCCTTGTTTCTGATCTTAGAGGGAAAGCATTTGGTCTTTCATCATTAAGAATTATGTTAACTGTAGATATTTTTGTAAGTGCTCATTGTCAAGATGAGGAAGTTCCTTTCTATTCCTAGTCTCATAGTTTTGATCATGAATGGGTGTTGAATATTGTAAAAAACTTTTTTACTATCAATTAAGATGACCGAGTGATCTTTCTTAAGCCTATTAATAAGGTGGATTATGTTGATTGATTTTCAGATAATGAACCAGCCTTTCATCTCTGGAACAAATCCCACTCTCATGGAATATAATTCTTTCTATATATTATTAAACTCTATTTGCTAATCTTTTGCTTCTACATTCATGAGGTATATTGGTTTATAGTGTGTGTGTGTCTGTGTGTGTATGTGTGTGTTTTGTACTGTCAATGTCTGATTTTAGTGTCATGGTAATACTTTTTTATAAAATAAGGGGGAAATCTTCCCTCCACTTCTGTTTTCTGTAAGATATTTTGTAGAGTTCATTCTTTTTTAAACATTTGATAGAAATCTGGATCCAGAGATTTCTGTTGGGGGGGAGATTTTAAATAATGAATTTGATTTCCTTAATAGTTAGCTATCTCATATTGGGTGAGTTTTGTTAGTTTGTGCTCTTTGAGGAATAGGTTCATTTCACCTAAGTTATTACATTTACATGCGCAGAATTGCTTGTAATATTCCTTTATTATCCTTTTGATGTGTGCAGGGTCTGTAGTGATGTCACATGCAGGGAATGCCAGGTAATACATCGTCCAGTTAAGAGAATCAACTTTCCAGGGAGCTCAGGGCTCAGAGAGGGAAGGGTCTTTGCCGACTGTCAAGCAGGGGGTGTGGCAAACCTGCAGGTGTTTGGGCTCCCATTCCTTTGCTCGTCCCTGTAGCTGAGGCGGGTGGGGGAGAGCCTCAGAGGGTGAGCTCATCATTGGTGTGGACATATAGTGAGGAAAGGTGAAGAGACATCAACAGGACAGCACAGCAGTGTAATCCATCTCTACAAAGAAGAAGGTTCCACCCGGAGAGAAGATGAATGCAGCCTCCCCTTCCTCTGCGTGGCCTCCAGAAGCCACTCAAGCCAAGGGAAGAACAGGTCCAAGGCTTCAGAGTAGTATGTGTTCCCACTGGGAAATCGATTTCCTCTGCTCAGTCACTGTTTCGTACATGGCATCTAAACGGAGGGATCTCACGGTGCCTGCTGGAGGGCGAGCCATTTGGAGGTCCCTCAGGGCAGGCACGGAGCAGAGCTGATTTATGGCACCGGCGCAGGCATTACCGCAAGCATGAGGACCAGGCAGAGGAAATGCCACAGCAGCCGAGGCCGGCATTCCCGCCTGTCAGCAAACACTGCGGGTTGGGAAGGCTGCTGCAAGCCCAGTGTGCACGGCCCTCCTGCCCGGGCAGGGCCTCCGACAACACTTTCCTGTGAGAGACCTGGGCTCTGGGGAGGCCGCTTCCTGCTGCGTCACCATGATGTGACCACAAGGGTGGGAACCGGGCCCAGGAAAACTTCCTCCTGCACTGGGTCGACCCTTGTGCAGAATATTGGCTCCGAGCTGAGTGCTTTTCCCTGAGATATCAGGGCCTCTGTCACCCCGCCCTGAGGGGCCCCGCTGACCACTGCCCTGCCAGGATCCGTCTAACTGCACCCTGGGGACTCGAGGTCTCAGAACCGGCCAGTGGCAGGACCTCTCTGTGTCCCCAGGCCAAGGGGACCAGATTTTAAAAATTTGATGACTCCAGTGCATGGGAATTCAAGGGTCTCTCATGTTATCAACAAAGCAAACAAATAAAAATATGAATAAAATGTCAATTAGAACAAAAAATGTTAGTGAGAGTAGTCCAATTACATTGATTTTTTTTCCTTTTCTTCATTGCATTTTCCAAGTTTTATAATGTTTTTGTTTTGGAAAAATAAGCTTTATTAAGGAAAAATGATCAGAATGACAATGAATTGAATCAATCTTATACTCTTCAGGGGACTGAAAGATACTACTAGTAACTGAAGTCTTTTTTTAAAAAAAGTATTTTTATTGATTTTTTACAGAGAGGAAGGGAGAGGGATAGAGTTAGAAACATTGATGAGAGAGAAACATCAATTCAGCTGCCTCCTGCACACCTCCTACTGGGGATGTGCCCACAATCAAGGTATATGCCCTTGACCGGAATTGAACCTGGGACCCTTCGGTCTGCAAGCCAACGCTCTATCCACTGAGCCAAACCAGTTAGGGAGTAACTGAAGTCTTATAAATGAGAACACCAAGAGGACTGCAGGACCTTTTCTTTCTCTGAGCCAGGTCACCAAGACCTCAGATGTCATGTCATGAAATCCTCACATTTCTTAACGAAGGAGTCATCTTGGATAGCTTCCTCACTGTCACATAAGACACAAGACCACCAGTCTAAAGCCTCCCTTGCAATCTGGTAAGAAAATTGTACAATCTTTACCTATTAAGAAGGACGATGGCACAGTGATAGCAGTCATTTATTGAGCACTTGCTGGATGCCAGCAGGGTGCTCAGGTACTCTACCTAGGTCTTTAATCCTTACAATAAGAATTAATGGGGTATGGTGTAGGGTTACTCAGACCTCTGGGCTTGAATCCTGCCTCCTCCATTTGTGAACTCTGTGACTTGATTGCCTACTTACCCTGTTTCAGCTTCCTCATCTATAAAAACAAAAAAGTGACAATACTACCTACCTGGTAAAGTTCTGGTGAAAATTAAATGGGATACCTCTGGTCAAACACAAAGTACGAAGCTCAGCGTCAAGTGAGAATGCCATGCATGCTGCTTATTATCATCCTCATCTCAGAGTATGGCAGGGGTAGGGGTGCAATGAGATGTTCCTGCCCTTGTAGAGTTTATTTGACTGTGAAATAGATAGGACTCGAGCTAATGAGTGCCTACATCCCCAGGTTTCCAGACCAAGCCCCAATTGAGTGTTGTTTTTGCTCAGCCACTGCGAGTGGGAGCTTTGAGGAGAGCAAGTTGAAGGACACTGATAGCCCTTTGGGTGGAGGACACCTCACAGTCTACCATGACCTTCAACTCAGGTTCCAGAGATCAGCAGTACCATCTCTATCGCGTGGCTAAAGCTGTCAGGAAAGACCACTGCCTGATGGGAACATCCTTCCTGGCAGAGGAAGGTTCCAGTGGGTGCATCTATTGCCTTTCGAATGGCTTTGTAACATTAATACCAGAAAAGTTGCAGTCTCCCCATCGGAAGCCTCTGAAGTGGGGACAAGGAAGAGGGGACGAAACGGAATCTCTCTGGGAGCTTTTCCCACATTCAGGATCTGGGTTGCTAGGTGTCCACATAAAATATCCTCATCAGAGAAAAGGGGAAGCTGGACCCATCTTACCGAAAGCTTTATCCAGCTGTTTGTGGAAGTTAGTGCCTTGGAGAAACAAAACAGAGGCAAAGACAGCCCTGCTTGGATTTTACAGCCAGAAGCCCCACAACACAAAACTACTTGGCAACCTTGATCCATAGACTTGCTCTTACTTCTCAGTCATGAGTCTGCTCAACCCAAGGCAAGTCCCTCCAGGCCACTGAGACGTTTCAGTCATTCGTTGGGTCCAAGTGAACAATTTAAAGGGCTCCATCTCTGTGCCTTCTTACTCTCTACCCTCTTCCTAGGTGAGGTCATCTATGCCATTGGGTTTTACCTATCACATACGATCTGTCTTAAAAAATATAGATACTACAGTTAAGGAAAAACTCTGTATAACTCACCAAACGTTTTTCCCTAAGCTCCAGACACATTTGATTAGTTAGGAATTCTTTTAGTTGCAAGTAACAACAATAATATTCAACTTACAACCTTCCTGGGTACCCCACATTTCTGTTTCCCTGGCTTTTAGGAGTAGCCAGATGACTCAGTTCTAGCCAATGGAACGTGAGTGGACGCGACCTGTGCCTTTTACAGGCCTGGCCCACAAAACCTCCCAAAAGGGTGTCTCTGTCCTCTCCCCTCTCTGCTAAGTGTGATTCTGTGTCCCAAGCAGCCTTAGCAGCTACATATTGAAAACAGCAGAGCTCCCATTAGCTCGTGTCCCTGAGCTTTCCATTCCCCCACCCCCAGCCTGGACCACTCAGAAACAAGAAACAATCATTTTTGGAAACAATTCATTACCCTAATATATCTTATCCTAAAGAAAACAAATGCTTTAAGCTAACAGAACTTTTTCTCTTTCTAAACAAGAAGTTCAGAGGTAGTAGATGCTAGTACTTACTCAAATGCTCAAGGATGCCACCCAGGGAGCAGGCTGTCACTCTCTGCTCCACCATCCTCATTGGCTTTACTCTCATGCTCTTGTCTCATGGTCATGAGAAGGCTGCCACAAGGGGATGTTGGATATGGGAATTATGCTCACCTCTGGGCAGGAAGAGGAAGAAATGAGGAAAGGGTTATTTCCCCAGTTAACTTGTGTTTTGATTTATCAAGGAAAGACCCTCATTGTGTTTTTTCCTCTCCCCTCTTCCTCCTCCTCCTCCTCCTCCTCTTCCTCCTTCTCATTCTCCTTCTCCTCCTCCTCCTCCTTCCTCTTCCTCTTCCTC